ACCATTTATATTCTAAAGCATTGAAAAGATATGATTACATTCGTTTGAATTGTTGATTCTCCCAATCTGCGTTGAGTAGATTTCTCAATTTTTGTATGACTTGAATCTTTTTTAAGAATAAATTTTTCGTGTTGAAGCTGGGGATAGCTTCTATTCTGTCAATCAGTTGCCTTTCACTGTCTATCGATTATACTGCAAATGATTTTATGAAGCATCTAATTTTTTATCCTAGTTTTATCAGATATCTAAGAGCATGATGCTATTTCCTCTTAATAAATGAATTAGATGGAAAATGCTGGATATCAGAGGGCACTTGCAGAGACAACTAGGATGTATGAGGAGAGAATAGCAGAGTTAAATCAGCAACTAGAAGATGAACATGCTCATTTTGATGGGGTTGAAGAACAACTGCATTCTACAGAAAAGCTTCTAAATGATAATCAAAATGCAGTTAAGGTGTGATTTACTATCTCTAACAGGAAAATATACATTCAGCACATCTTGCTGAAATTTTCGTACTAAAATTATTTTTTCTTTAATTTTATAATTGTATACTGCATTGTCATATAAGTTCTAATTGTTGTCTCTTGATTATCCATGTGCCTTTCTTATTCTCGTTGTTTTATTTCCCGCACAGTTATTTTCCTTTTTCCCAATTATAGATCTATGAAGAAAAAGAGATTTTAGAGCTTAGAATGAGGTTAGAAGAAATGCATGAAGCCGCTGTCCATGAACTTCAGCAGTTAAATATGGAATACAAGAATCTACAATTAGAGAAGGTATATTTGGTGCACCAAAATTCAACAGTATGGTTTTTGCCATGGTCATGAAGTTTACTTTGAGGTTTCTCTATTAGTTGTTCGTACTAATCATTACTAGTGTGTCCAGCTTTCAAGTTTGCTTCACCCGTCACAGACACAACAAAGATGAGTTGGAAAATAGTTAATTTAATGATTTTTAATGAATTATAGGAAGGGCTTAGCGATGAACTTCATACCATGAGACAAAACCTTCAAGTTGAGGAAAAGCGACGAAAGCAAGCTGAAAATGAGCTGCTTAACATAAAGAAGATTGTTCCTGAAAGTGAAGATGCCATTGAGGTGAATATTATATGGTTTCTGTATCTTATCAAGCATCATGCTTGTTCTGATACTTCTGTGTTCTGAGATTTTATTTCCCGACTTTCTACAGGTAAAAAAACCGTACATGCAGGAAATAAGTAAAGGGAGTTCAGCCTTCCACAATGAACAAGGTTTACAGGTGCCAAGCCAATCAAGAGATTCTATCACTGGTGGTCATAAGAGCACAATTGCAAAGATATGTGAAGAAGGCAAGTTTCTTGGGTTTTTTTTGCATTGTTGTGGTTGATATTGGTTTGTTAATTCCAGTGGTATGAATTGTTTTAAGGCATCTAGAGAGTTACGGATATGTTAAGTATGGAGGACCGGTACAATTGACAAGATCTTTTTCTTCCTTAATAGTCTAATCCACCTTATCAAATATGCAATAGGACGTGTTCAATATGTAGTATTGGGCAGTACTGCACTGGACATAGGACTAGATTCAAACTTCTCTTTTTCCTAATCCTGCCCATTACACCCTACCAAACATAACACAAATGTATCAGTTATGCCTCTCTCAAGTGTCAGGGCTGGTAGAAACTTGAGTGTACAAGCCCTTGACATCTTTTAAAGGAATAAATTGTTGTTATAACTGTTGTAAGACCTTATAGTTCTTCTAATGACAGATCATTTTTTCCTGTGAATTCAGTTGGGATCCCGAAAATATTATCACTGTTGACATCTAGAGATGTAGATGTCCAAATCCATGCCGTGAAAGTTGTGGCAAATCTTGCTGCTGAAGGTATGTAAAGAACTGTGCCTTATCTTGGAACAACATTTTCTCTTGGCTCCGCACCTTTTTGAATGCCAAAGCATTTGAAACCATTGATGCGTATAATGTATTGCAATATGTTAAGAAGACAAGGCTTTGATATTGAAAAGAAGCAACTAAATTTGAGCATTTGACTTTATATTCTTCACGTCTTTCTGTTTGGACCATTTTCGATTAGGAAGACTATTTGTTGTAGTTAGTCAAGTGTAACAATTCAAAGTAGTTGATGAACTACCATTTTTATTTCCTTATCACTTAGGGTATGTTAGGACTAGAAAATGGTCAGATTAGAAGAGCTGCGAACAGAGGTGAAATGCAAACTAGTTTCTTTCGTCTTTTAGAAGCCAAAGATGATACTGAAGATCCCTCTAAACTAATTGTCTTTTATATAGAAAGCTATATGAATTTTCAAAAAATTGTTTGAATTATTTTCTCCATATTCACCATATTCCTTGTTAAAATGTTATTACTGAAACTATATTATGAATTAGTACCTTTAGTATTCATTTTCTTATAGCGAATAGCTAGTAGATAAAATGAATTGGTAATTCTGCTGACTTAAATCTCTTTCTAAAAAATTCAGTTCTGATTGCAGATATCAATCAAGAGAAAATTGTGCAGGAAGGTGGTCTAGATGCACTGCTCGCATTGCTGGAATCATCTCAAAACCCAACTGCACTCCGAGTTGCTTCTGGCGCCATTGCTAATTTGGCAATGAATGGTACTTATCTCTGTTGCTTTATTATTCAATACAAGAAATATAGATGGTTATGTATGTGAAAATCAAAACATAAGATTTGGTCCTAATGCTGTAACTTTTAGTAGCGAAAGTTGTTCTCCACTTCACATGAGATTAGGTTCTTCTAAAGTTAGAATTTAGCTGAAGACTAAATTTAAATAGGTACTCACTTCTGTTTTCTAACACAACTTCAGCTTTAGATGAGATAATTCAACATGGTATTATGGTAGTCAAAGGTTTTGGATTCAAGTTTCACCATCACCCCATTTATGAAAGCTATGCACATGTGAGCTTTGATGGGGGGGAAATAAATAAATATGTTCTCTCTATCATCTTAAGCTTTAAGATAAGTTGGTACAACAAATTTAATGAACAAGACTTTCATATATAGGTTTTTTACTTAAGGTTACAATTTTTTGGTCCACAGAGATGAATCAAAGTTTGATAACCAGCAAAGGAGGTGCTCAGCTACTCGCTAATATAGCTTCTAAGACAGATGATCCTCAAACTCTTCGCATGGTAGCTGGAGCAATTGCAAATTTGTGCGGAAATGGTAAGATTGAAGTGGATTTGTAGTCAGATCATCTAGAAACTTGGTTAACCATGATTGATTTTCTTTGTATTTTTCCTAATCACTATGGATTACCCGAACTTTTTAATTTATCTTATTTTACAGTTTTATTATAGAATTTCTTGAGATGTATAGAACATTACATGAACTATTCTAATGGAATGGTCATATGACTCAAGATTGTATAGAACATTAAGCCTTTGTTTGATGAAAGTTTTCTAATTTTTTATTTTTTATTTTTTATTTTTTTTTGGGAGGGGGGGGGGGGGGGGGTTGAAAATGAGCGTAGGGAAAATCATTTCGCAAAAAAAGTTTTATCAAACAAGGTCTAAATTTGTAGCTATACTAAAAAAAATAAAAATAAAGAGCTATTGCCTCTCAAGTAATGAGCATTAACATATTTTTTGGTATAAAAAGTTGAAGAGTTTCATGAATACAAGGTACTGTTATCGCAAGTTTGATATGCAGTATTAGATAAGAGCCTATAACATACGAGCTTTTAGCTTATTTTTTCTTAGTATTGTCTAGGGTTATTCAATCCGCCCTATCTACCATACAATTAACAGATCCTAATGAGAATTATGTATATTGATGTTGAGGTACTTGTTTCTTGACAGAAAAGTTACATGTGATGCTGAAAGAAGATGGAGCCATCAAAGCTCTCCTGGGAATGGCTAGAACCGGAAACGCTGATGTTGTTGCTCAGGTAGCCAGGGGTTTGGCAAACTTTGCGAAATGTGAATCTCGGAGAATCATTCAAGGTTTAGATGAATACGTATTACTATCTCATCTAGTTATTCGTCTCATTTTTGTTCTGGGACATGCATTTGAAATGTTTTACTTCAGGATATTGGAGAGGCCGATCTCTTCTAATTGAAGATGGTGCCTTATCATGGTTGGTTGCCAATGGCAATACTACTAGTACTTCAACACGACGCCACATTGAACTTGCTATTTGCCATCTAGCACAAAATGGTAAGCCAGGTTTTTTTCTAGTAAAGATTTTAACAGTTCGTTTGGAAGAGATTCTTCCACGTGAAAGTAGGTGCTGTTGAAAATGAGTTTGGTTTAAAATGATTTTTGAAAAAAAAAAATCTCTCCCAAACAAGGGCTAAATATGACGAATCCTCAAAATATAATGCATAAACATTATGTGCATTTAGAAGTTGAATTGACTGTAATGTAACTTAATGGTTCTTGCAGAGGACAATGCGAAATATTTTGTATCCAGTGGCGGTTTTAAAGAACTCATAGAGATATCGAATAGTTCTACCAGAGACGATATACGCAGTTTGGCTAAGAAAACAATACGGTTAAGTCCATCTTTCCAGACAGTGATGCGCGCAGAATGAATACATTTGCATTGTATTTTCTTTTGGAGTTGTATGAATTTAGCTGCAATAGCACACATGTTTACAGTTCATACTTGAATTATGGCTTCATAAATGTGCAGAAGATGAATGCAAAGTGCATATTTTTTTGTCATACTTGGTACCCTCAAACTAATAGGACTCACCTGCAAGAACTGGATGTGAACCGGCCAGGGATCGATCTGGTCTTGGGTCAAAACATGAATCTAATGGTTCTTTCGACCTTAGTTTCCGAATGTCGTCATATATTTCATGAGACCTACCTTACTACTATAAAATCACTACAATTACGATAAATTTGTGGTTATTCTTCAAATCGTTTTCCATTTTTATTCAGTTCAACCATGGTTAACTGACCGCAGTGGATTCTAAAGTTTCTATCAGAGTGGTATTAGCTCGAGTCGAGTTGAAAATACTCCGGGAAAAAAAAAAAAAAATCACGTTTTCTATCTTAGCCCTAAACTAATAACAATGTAATTATTATTATAAACAATACTAATTTACAAGTAATCAATCGATCGAGATCTAAGGACACCCTCATTTATCGCAGACAGAAGCCTCGGCCACAAAATTGATCCTACGAGAAAAAACGAAGAAAAAGACTAAAATGCATGCAATAGTGGTCATCTCCAGGAACAAATACTCACAAAATAATACCCAAATTTGGCAATTTCAGTAGAATTGGATCAGCTTCTGGCCTCCATAATTCTGCTACTAGAATTCAGTCTGCAATGATACTTGAATCTGAACTCTGTAATAAAAGCATCTGTATGCCCATTGGAACCTTAGCCGGGCAAAACCTCAGCCAAGCGGTCCTCTGAATCAGATGGAATCTCTCTCCCGGGAACCTGGACCTTTAGAAGATTTGTATACCTGTTAACAAAAATGATAGTTTAGTGACTATAGGTGAAAGTTATTCGCCGGATTCAGTTTCATGCTGCTTGGCTAACTCACTCTGCAGACGTGAACAGGTGCTTGTGCTCTGCAATGAATGCAAGCAATGCCTGGAAAAGGTAAATCCAATGGTTTTTGTTGATTACAATATGAATTTTCCAGCTTACAATAAGCGAGCAAGGAATGGGAAGAGAGGAGAATTTAAATTTGAACCGATAGCAACGGAATTCTCAGATTTACCTCAAAGGGCATGTTTAACAACTCATAGTAAGTACGGACACGATCTAATCTCAACTGTATAGCTTCATTATCAATCGAAGAGATAGCAGCTAAAGCCTGGAAAAGATCAGAAGAATTGATAAATATGCAGTTCATGGGGACCATAATGAATCCAAAAATCATAAAGGACATGACAACGTTTGTATCTCATTTCACGAAAAGAAAGAAAAGAAAACGAAAGCATAAATGCAACCATGGCGAAAAGGCATTCCATCTGATTAAGATGGTAGTTCCAATATTTGTCTTTAACCTTTCATTTTCTCAAAACTTGTTCTTGTACATGTAGCTGGTTGTCAGACAATTTTAGGTATGCTTGGAGGATTTTCTGCGTGAGGAAAAAATAAAGTTTGGGCACGGGGATATGGTTCTCCACAAATTTTGAAAACTACATTCAGATTAATTTAGGATACTTCGGGGATATTTTATCTTCTTTCCTTTTTGTTTCTTAAATTCATTTTTTTCATTTTAGGGTGTGATTGGGTGGGGGGTTGAAGGATCTCCGCAAGTTTACGAAGAAACTTCTTTGCTTGTAAATCTGTGTGACCATCTGATACACGTTACTAATAGTTTGAGCTGTTGAACCGCTCATTAAGCCCCTGTTTGATGGGAATTAAAATTAGATTTGATAGAAGTTTTTGAAATGTATGATTGAAAAGTTGTGTGACCCATGAAATATGTGGTTAATATTAATTATCTGACTTTTACTTAAATTAAAATCTGATTTAAGTCAATACCAAACAGGGGCTAAAAGTTCCCGTTCTTTGTTATTTCATTTCAATGACAAAAAGTGAAGCTCTAATCCGTGCATGGCACTAGGTTTAATATGTGCTTAGTTGAATAAATTCAACAAGTTGGACTGTCACGTGGATCATTTTCTATTCAAAGAATGGGTGTCGAGGCTGGACTTAGAAGTAGAAAATCAGAGCATAATGTTTATGATAGTTTCTACTTTATGTAAATGCAAATTAATAACAGCAGGGAGAAAGTAGGGGAGACAAACTGACCTGTTCCAGTGCAATTGAATTACGGCATATCTGCTGAACACCAAAAAGGTTGATAGATTTTATATCAACCAAAGCCTAACAGAAAATAATTAAGTCTTTTGTCAGGAAGGATTCTAAAGAAGGTATTCTCAAGGATTCAGAAGAAATTTGAATACAAGGAAAATTTTGCCAGACAGACCTTCATAAATGCATTTGCTGCAATACTGCATATTCCTCCAAATATGTAATTCCGTTTCTCTCCCGCAACAAAAGGTGCCATTTCCTCATCTCGACGGGTTATCTACAATACATGAACAGAAAAGTTGACAAGCAAGGTAGAATTTTTAAAAATTGAGAGCGCGTATTCAAGAAATGGAAGTATAATTTAAAAAAAGTAGCATCTTCCTTCCCTTAAATTGATTATAAGCATTCAAAAATAAAACCAGCAGATATGGCAGGGATGTAGAAGACGAAAAAAGAAAAAAAGAGAAATACGAGTCATGAAGTTCCTCTGATCAATCATTACAGTCCTCAAGTCTAGACAGGGCAACAAGCATCTTTCTAAACACTTTTTTGAAAGGTTTAAATACCTTTAAAAAAAACAAGATGCACAACACAGGCAAATAATATGATTTTTTTTATTGATTCTGATAGAGGAAAATTAGCAAGAACTTCACAATTAATATGATTTTTTTTATTGATTCTAATAGAGGAAAATTAGCAAGAACTACGCAAAAGAATTCTTCCATCAAGGGCATAAGAAGACTACTCACTATTAAGGAAATCAACAGGAAGACTTGCATCACATAATGGTGGTTCAGCTAGTCAGTATGCCGTATCAAACAAATCTAGTTGGACCCATATGCTAATGAATTTGTTTGAAAGCTAGAAACCAATTTGTTAAGTTACATGGGGATATATTTGTTGAGTTTTCTAAAAAAAATATATATCATTCCATTTTTTTTCTTTGGGTTTTGATTGAGTAAGGAGTGCCAGAAAACCCTTATATCCAGAAAATGTTCTGCTATAATCAGAAGACAATTGACAGCAAGCGCAGAGTGATTATAAAGCATTTGTGTACACTGTGCTCTGAATTTTTGGCTGCCAACTGTAAGTTAGCAAAAACCTCCTCATTTGAACATCAACTCTGGCATAATTCAAATCAGTGTACATGGTGCTTGCATATTCCAGGAAAATAAGTTATAATAAGGTCATGAAGATATATTTTTGACACTGGCGCTGGGGAAATGAAGTTTGGGACTGTTGGATTCTTTATTGCGATGGAAGGAAGGATTGAGCATTTAAGGAAAAACACACACACATTTGAGCAATGAAATTTCCCTCAAAGTAATTATTTTTTGTAAGATCAATCCAAGAGAAAAATATAACACTCTACATTAACTGAAATCAAGATATTTCCTTTTTCTTCTGAACTAAAAAGTACATCAACGACTTCAAGGAATTTGAGGAATGCCAGCTTCTTCACGTACCCAGAGATAATAACTTTGTCAGGTACCAATAATTGACAACAAAGTACTAAATACAACTCACCTGGGAAGTTAATGAAATAACAAAATCATCAGGCTCTTCAGCATCTTGGTCGTCTAAATATTCCCTACTCGTCATTTCCTATACAATTTCAGAGGTTGGTTGCCAATATTATTACTTTTATGACTGTGATTCTCGACTGACCTAAATGTAGATAACAAATATACAAGTCAGAACCTGCATATGGAAAACAGTCTCCAGTTGCATCTCTACACGTAGAACCTTTAGGCAATCAATTGACAATTTTCTATACTCTTCAGCAAACGATGCAAGATCCTTGGTAGGTGCACTACTTGTTCTAGAATGATGGTTCCGCTTCTCTTCTCGCCGATCATGATCTTTCATGGATGAATTCCCAAGCCTATTGGTGAATAAGAATTTAAATGAAAGACACTGATGAATATTCCAAAATGCATTACATAGCCTCTGTTTGGTTTTCATTTTCTTTTCCTAAAATTCTACTTTTTCAAAGTCAAACATTAATTTTAACCATATATTTCATAGGACCCACTTATCAACCACTCATTTCTTGAAAAAGAACAATTTTAGCAAAACAAAAGAAATCCAAACAGAGGCATAGAAGAGATAAACGGGAACTTCAATATAACAATCAAGACATCTATCAATATTTTAACAGTAATTTCATATCACCAGAATCCAGAAACTGATAGTAAATGTTATAAATGTTTATATGGTTTATCAGAATACAGTTAACCTATTTCCTACGTCCCAAACTTTTCCTCCAAAATTTCTGTTTTGCACATCCCCACACACGTTCACCTTAAAATTCGGGTGTAAGGTCTGCTATCATTTACAAGACTTGTACCATGCACTCTGATAGGCAAAAGTCCCCAGTGTTTAAAACCACGAGGGTAATATCTGAAATCAGGAGTTCCAAAAATTGATAAATTGAAAAAATAAAATAATAAAAAAAATCGTTTAAAGGTTGACCAGTAATGGGGGCAAAAGAACATTGAGGAGGGTGGGATATCAACAAAACTGTTACCTGATGGGCTTTTAACACGTTACCCATTACGGCAGCTACAGGTATGATGAAGTTCACTTTATTACATTTCTGCAATATTTACTCCTTTAACAGAAAGCAACCCCACCACCACAAAAAAAACAAAAAAAACAAAAAAAACAAAAAAACAAAAACAAAAACAAAACAAAAAACAAAACAAAACAAAACAAAACAAAAAGAAATGCACAAAAGTTAAAAAGCTCTCCATTACTAATGCAAAACAATGAATCCTCTTCGTCAAATCAATGCCACATATATTGTTTGTCAGAACATGAATGTGAACATAAGAACTCAGACTTGAAATCTGCTCATATTTGCCCAAGTCCTAACGTCGTGAAATTCTAATTGTTGGATGTGGAAAGCAAGAGGGAGAGAGAGAGAGTATAGCAGTCTTAGAAGCATTTTTTATGGTATTTGGTGGACGATCACGACGGAACTGACTCTGTAGTTGAATGTTTGAATTCTTGTAATTTAAGAAGTTGATAATCGCACAATTTAAACAGCTTTGTATTTGGGTGGCACCTCCATGGCGCCTTGCATGATTATCAAAAATTGCCACACAGAACTTCCATAAGGGAACCAAAAGGGGTAACACCCAATCCAGTCATCAAGCATATCAGCTAGCTGATATTATGTTTAACAAAAACATAAATATATGTCTAGAATTGATCTTCTCTTCACTAAAGTGTCGATCTAACATATGTTACATACTATCATGCTCATCGGGACTGAGTTGTGCTAATTGCTCACTATCACAATATAATTCATCACCAATTTCACCTTTTTTCACAAATCTGTAAGATTGGACAACTTGGCCAGTTCACTTGTCCATGAGGGATGAATAGGAGACATTATTCATAAATATCGATAATGCGTGTGAGGCACCTTTTCCTTGTTGTAAGTACTTGCAGGCTAATGAGGACAAGAGGATTATAGAGCATAATTAGGTCGAAGCTGCAAGTTTTAGAGCGTGACAAGTTTCTTTTGTGTGCCATGATTTTCCAATGATTGCAGACCACAATTTTACTACATCTCCCTGTAGACACTCTTTATTTTATTCCTATCATCACCACCTCGATTATTCATCTCAAAAAAATTATGGCACAACTATCAATTGAAATCAACATTGGCTTTTCTAATATCCCCTTGCTGCATGTAAGAATTCACTTGACTAGGTGAGAGATGATCCTTCCCCAGCAGTAATGCTCTAGGCCTCATTAATAATGTTCAAGTAATTTAGGACTTCCAGTATGCAATCTCTCGACAATAATTTTACAATTTCTACTAGGTTACAGTGAGACTTATTATTATTATCAAACTCTTCCAATAACATTTTAAGGTCAGCATATAAGGTAGAGAAAGAGAGAATGTGTTCCAAAGTTACCACTCATAGAACTTACTGCATCTACGAATCAAAATAACATAGTTACAGGTTTAGCAGACAAAGACGTTCTGAACCTTGAAATTTTCACTCTAGTTTTCTTCCTACCGCCTTCACCCTTCATTTCAAACACATCATAAACTGTAGATACTGGAAAACCATTTATAGATTAATTTTTCAGTTAGTTAAGCTTCACAAAAGATAACAATAACTGAGGCTTACAAGTGCAAGATGGAAGAACTTGCCTTTCTATTGACTCTGCAACATACTCCAAAGAATCGCTCAAGGATGCCAATAAAATAAGTTTGTTATCATCACGTATCAAGTTCTCCTGCAAAAAGAAGTTTTCAGGCAAACAAGAACAGAATTTATATAGCAGTAGCATATAATAAGACCATGTATTCTGTCCGCTGTTTGAACTGAACTTGACATATCTCACTTTACATACAATAATTTCCAGTAGCCTTCTCCCAAGGCAATAAAGGGTCCAAAGAGGTAAGAATGGATAATAGCTTCCGAGAGTGTGGTACCTGCTTAATTGGCCTTAAATTCAGTAATATATCACTTAATTCCATTTCAACCTCAATGGTCTCAGCATCAGATGCATTGGGTTCTCTAATTCCCTGGTCAAGTGAATTCTGGAAACATGAACTGGCTGGATCAAGTCGCATCAGATTTTCAACATCATGTCTTCCAATAAGCATGTAGCTTTGCTTCTCAAGGACAGCCTGATATTTCGAGCAAAAAAAACTAATAGATTAAAAGGGTAAGAATGGCAAAATAACTAATAATTGAAGAAGATAATATAGGAACTTCGTGATAGAAAAAGAATATAGAGAGACTACAAAATTGCAATTATCAACGAGTCCATTCATTTGCTTGATACAAAAACTTAAGTAGGACCCAGACCCTGATCAGCCATAAGTTACACTCCATAAAGTTATGCAAAGAAACCTACTGAAAAGAAGGAAGGAGAGTAATACACATGTTTTCTCCAATAAGGCAAAAGCATACAGAAGGCTTAGTCAAATATGTAAAATATGGTTTAAATATAAAAGACAGAAAATAAAGAGTCCATGCCTCCATGTAAGACGTCCGACATCTTTCATATGTTCTTTCCAGAAAAGTTTGCACGTAGTTGATGAGATCACCAGCAAATTTAGGCATTGCTTGAGCCCATCCAAGTACCTAGGCAAATGGCGTCTAGTTTGAAAAAGACTAGATGGAAATGAAAAAACTGTATTCTGTTCTCATGATAATGAAAACCCAAAATGTCTTAGATCAGAAATTAAGAATACCTCTTTTGCTAACAAATCTATTGCCAATAGTCCTTGTAAAACTGGTCTTCCCTTCTCAATTGATGGAGTATAAGAGATAGCTGCATGTGCTCGTGGACGAAATGCAGCTGGGCCTATTCACAATTTTAAACAGAAACCAGAATCAGAAATTGTTATGGTGCATCAGTTACATCACGTAAAGAGGATAGTTCTTCAACATTATCAATCTCCAAACTAATCTATCAAAGAGAGAATAATTCAACCAAGCATAGAATTCATCTTCACCTTTACATAATTACATGTTCATCCTGACAACAGTTCAGGCGAACTGCAGTCCTCGTAATAAAAATTGGCAAAATGATGCCATCTAATTCCATCTCTCACTCTAGATGGTATCTACGAAACTGGAAAGTACAAACTGGAAGAAACATTACTCAGGTAAGCAATGGACATGTCTGGATGTGCTTGAGGTGATGCACTAGGGAAATAAAACAAATACTCTAGAGCAGACTTGGTGTTAAAATTTAAAAGATGTCACTCTTAAAATTATAACAATTTATATGAATAGTGAAAAGATGGGTAGAAGTATCAGCCTTACATTCTCTACTTTCACACAGTCATCTGTAACTTATATAACAGATATTTCGACATGTGCCAAAGGGACATGGTAAAATAATTTTGGTAGATAAGTTAAAAAAAGAAACAAATTGGCATGTTTGCTGAGCAAAACTGTTGAAATTGCTGAAAAAATAGTAATAATCATAAAGACAGGGAAATTGAATTATTTCCAAGAGTCATGAGGTTAACGAGAATAATAGATTTAGAAGCTAAAAAATAAAATAAAAAAATCCTGATAGACAATTGGATAGGATTTATTGTTCTATTTGCTAACGATTTATTTATCACACGCTTTAGCCAAACTTCAATGACAAATTTTTGATTATGCATTTGGGAAAATTTCAACCTGTTAATAAACACAAATGCACACTTGCAACCTGTGGCTTATCATGGTCACGATTGTTCCATGCAACATGGACACTCATTCAAAATCAGGAGGAATGCACGGAAAAGGTGGTATATCAAGTCCTATTCTCACATCTGTATTCACATAGAAACATACACACCAATTTTAGAAACTTCCTACAGTCTCCAAACAACTTTTGGCATCTTCACTACAACCTAAATAAGAAGGATACACAAAGTGCCCTTCTATATGCATGCTTATACTTTTCATCTCTCATACATCTGTCAAAATCTAGTCCCTATGACTTGAACTCTTGGTTTGTCAAATAAATTTAATTCGTTTAACTCCAAAACAAAAGTTACAAATAACCGAATGTAATCTCTTATCCCTTCAAAAAGAGAACCCTCATGCAAGCATCATTGCCCTTTTATTATCTATATCGCCCATCTATTTGTGAAGTCATCACCATGAAGTTTTAATGATTATCATCACCTGGAAAAAACTTAAGAATTCACTTCAAGTAGGGAAAATTTGGGCAGAGCTCCCCAATCTTTCACCTGGGGTAGATATGGGTCCCCAACCTTCAACAGTGAGGTTCTATTTCCCAGCCTCCTTAAATTTGTGAATCTAGGACACCAAATAAACAAAACAGTAACTTTCACATGACTCAAAGCTAAACTACTTGGACCTCGTTTGGCCCCGTTATTTGAAATTTTAATGGTTGGAATGATATTTTTATGAAGAATGTATGATTAAAAAGAAGAAAAAGTTTTGGGATTATGTGTACCATTATTTTATTGGAGAATGTGTGACTGATAATTAGAGAGAAAAAATGAATTATAATTTTAATGGAAGGCCAAACAAGTGAGTAGTAATATCTCTAATACAACTGAAAGAAGCGCAATTTTAACATCTACATTGACGATTTTATTACATAGGGATCCAGATTCATATATTTGAATAGGTTGGGGACCTAGATTCACTTTCAAATGGTGGGACAACGACCATACCACATGAAAGGTTGAGAAGCCCAAACTTTTTCTTTAAATTAAGTAGCAAACAGCAAGACTCACCGATAATTAAAGTGATCAGAGACGGTTCTACAGGTTTGAAACAAGTGCTGATATCATATCTAGACATCTGCGTACTACCATAACAGGGATTCCTGAGGTGGAGGAACCGTTTAATAATCATGGAGCTACTAGGGAGAGTGAGACAATTATGAATTTACAGGAGCAAGGTCTAGAAAAGAATGGAACATAAACATGCAACATAAAATGCACACAGAAATCATTAAAACGGTCAACAGAAAAGAATGATATTCATTAATGCAATATTAACTAAATAAAAAGATATAAGACTTGCTTGATATAGCTTGTTGTACGCCTTTCCGATAATCTACAAACATTGTAGGTAAGAAGTGATCCTTCACAAAGTTCTCCACAAATGTTAGCAATCCATCATTCCTGCAAAATTAAGTGTAACAAAAACAAAGATTTAAAACTACGTTAATTACATATGTATCAGTTGCATCTCAAATAATAGAATGAAGGCGAACTAGAAAAGAGAGAGAATTTAGTGAGGAAAATGAGTTTAAAGGTAAAACGGAATGCAGAAGCAGCTGAATATATTTTCCCCAAACAAAGATTCAGACATCAAGAGCAGTATAAACAACATTCAAACTTGAACTGCTGGAAGGATGAAATATTTCAGAATTGAGACAATTACTCCAACTTTCATCTTTTCTTATTCTAATTATTCATCCCATGAAAGACCTTGTTTGGTTGAACTATAAGCTCTTATATTTCTTTGAAATTTTTTATTGTCCTCGTGTTGCCACTAATTTTAACCAAGTTATTATCAACTCGTAAACCACCTCATATCCTGTACGTGTTACTTGTGCCATCTCAATAATGTTTAATAATGTTTTCCATTTAAGTTTTTATATTCTTGTCACGCTACTCGCAATCTTAACCCCAAAAGTTGAAAAGAAAAAAATTACCAATTGAATTTCTGCACAAATCATTTAATAATTTCATTTCTTAATTACCAGTCCTATTTCATAAAGAATGCAACTGCTGTAAGTGTAGTAATGCTGTCTAGCTGATTTTGATAAAAATACTCTAGATTTTCCAAAATTACGCTGTCTTGCAGGTTTTCACTGAAAAATGTCACATTTTCAATCCAGTATGAGTTCAACTCTGGTACCTCTGAATTATATCGGTAGCAAAATTTCAAACCTAAAAAGCAGATTTAAGTCGGATTAAATAATAACTCAAGCAGCTTATCAACAACTGAGATCTCTCTAAAAAAAAGTACGGGATGATAATAAATGCATTTATTTCCACCAAGCCCTTGATCGGGTGATGCAAAAATCATATCCTCGTTTCTTTTTCGCGAAAGTTAATATCTTTCCGACACCATTTAAATTAGCCCCTCATTCATTCATCATTTCAACCCAAAACAAGTCAACAAGCTAGAGTCATTATCCCTGCAATTTAACTCTAAACTCTAAGTCGTCCAATATTTAGATAAACCCTGCAGACCTTCCAATTTCAAGCAATCCAATTATTCTAATAAAGATGACCCATCTTCCCTCTGTAAATCCTATAAACTAAAATCAAATGTGCCACTAAAATCACTTGTAGTCAGCATAATATAACTAGTCCCACATTAATCTGATATGCAAGTTTATGTTGAAGAAAAGCTAAAAATTATTTCTCTGGTTAGAGTTTGTCTATGAAAAGCCAAACTAGTCCCAAGAATATATTAAAAAAATTAGAAGAAAAACTTTAATAGGTGAAACATAAAACATTTCATTCCTAATCATCTCAAAATGCAGAACTTCATCTCTGTTATACATGAAATATGCAGATTTTCAATAGAAAATAAATAAATAAAACTTGCAACATCAAGAGCTTACTTAATTATTGCAACATTTGCACAAATTTATTAAAATGTGCATCGTCAAGTGTAATAAAGGTGTATGATGTACTCACCCAAGTTGAGAAAACTTTTCAGGAAGCATTGATGCAACTTTATCTGTAAACTGCAGATGAGAGGGGAAAAAGGAAAATTAGAAAATGTCCTTCTGTAGATATAATACCTAGAAAAGTTACCAGCGAAGGTTTACTCTTTCCATCCTCTCGTCCGTACCTGAACAACTGGTCTGTACACAGATGCAGCTAAATATATGCCTTGCTCAGGTAACAATGCAGCAGTCCCATAACCTTCTTGGAGAACACTTGGTCCCCTTCTACTCCATCCTTGGCGAATAATGTCAGCCCCTGAGTAAATTTAATGAATTGCTGGTGCACCTCAGTTTTAAGCTAAAGATGTTTCACACACACACACATATATGGGGGGAGAAAGTGAA